TTCGTATTTAGCAGGGCTCTGTTCAGCTTTACGTTTGCCACGAGTCTGCATTATGTCGACGTTTTCAGTTTGAACATTTTGCCCAGTAGGACGCTTGGTGGCTACTGGCTTGACAGGGTTGTTCGTGCATAATACTTGATTGGAAGTCGCACGGGTATTCTTTGTAGGAGCCATTTCAAACAACTACAGCTTTCTCTATGAAATTCAACTCTTGTACCAATCAATTTCCCTTGAAGTTATCCACGACTCCTTCTTGCGCTCTTATCCTTTATCTTTTACTTTCTTTCTAATAAATGCAACGCACCACAGCTGCTGTTATCGCCTTCTTTTCATTGACTGTTTTTAACCGATTTGCACTTTCCCTTTCTTTCAAGTTGCTGTTGTTATTCGTAGCAAATTTCTTTATTTTCTATGTTTACTTCAGAGAAAATTACTTGATTTTCTAAATGCCAGCCTACTTTTGAAAAATTCACCTGCAACTTTTTCTTGTTTGTTTTATCTCGTGCGCCCGGCAAATTTTTTTTTTCTTCTACCGCTTAGAAGAATGATAACGAGCAGCTTGATTTCAAAGAATGATGAGTTTTTGATCAGTATCAAATTCTGAACCTTTCCAGGCATATTTGCGAGTGCTTGTGTCCGTCTTTTTGGTAATTCCTGTGGTAAACGTATTTCTGCCCGCGAAACTGAAAGTAACAATCAGAAATATAGCAAAAACGTTCAAAGTCATTGCACGCAGATTGATATGGAAAATGGGCTAAACCTAGATAAAAGCTGCGACAAACATTCGATAAAAGTTTCCATGTGCATCCTAGAAAAATGGTAACAACAGAACAACAGGCGCGGAAATTTGAGTGGAATGGGAATGGTATGGAATTTTCGTTTTTTTTTTTTTGTTTCTTCTTTAGTCTTTTTTAAGATGAAGCCGATAGCTATAAAAGACTCTATCACAGTCTGATATCATTTTCTTTCTTGTTTGGATTCAACTGTCGAAATAAAGTGAACGATTTACAACCAATTGTTTATGTTTATACATAGGTTTTAACACATGTAGACGAAAGATCCTTGGTAAGTAGTTCTTCTTTTGGAACGTCCTGAAATATCCTAGAGCCATCTATAAAATGAAAATAATAATGATCATCGAAAGTTTTTAGGTCTTGTTTTACCATAGGTCTATGTTGTGTAACGTTTGCTGGAGTGCTTGCGAAAGCTAAAGTCCAAGTAAAAAGCTGAAAGGGGGCATATACATACTCGGCAGATCGCCAGAAATCAGATTATGGCACGGATGCGACTTATCTACCTATCCAAACGTGTAAAAGCCGGGAATATGTTTATAAAAAATTAACTTAACTGACGGTTTGTGTAAACGAACTTAGGATCTGAGCCCGACTGCGAATACGTATTCATTGTCCACATGTTATCGTTTCGGATAACTATAAAAACTTATTATGTCATTTGGATCATTTGACGGAATATTCCGGAAACGATGACTGTTAGTTTCGAGGCACGTCGTGTATTTAGAGCGATAATGTAAATGGATTAAAAGCGTAACTCATACAAGCAAAAGTAGGTGCAAGCAACATATACAAAAGAATAATTTACACTCAAGGCCCAATACTAGAAACAAGTAACATAGGAAGATCTATTAAGATCCTGCGAAAAGAGTTAAGCCTCTTGCTATTTAATTACTCGTCATTTATATTTCGTCATGCAGTCGTACGCGGTGTAAAATAGAGTAAATTTAACTAAATCGAAAGGTTGACTGTTCATTGTATGTAGAGAATGTACATTTTTATTCGTTGCTGACAAACAATTTTCTTTTCAATTGATAAAAAAATACTTCATATAATGATAAATTTATGGAATTTTAGAGAGGAAAACAAAAATTATATTTAGCCAAATCAATGAAATTTTCATCCTCTATAATATTGTGTAGAATCAACTATAAAGTATACACATCGGTTATCATTGTTCTATTTGCTATACTGGGCCCTTCGACCGATTTATCTGAGACACCCGTCTGACCCGTTGATTTTCATTACATATTCGGCTTATTTTTGTACTCATCACCTAATGATTAGGGATATCTTCATTGTCATCGTCAAAATGTCTGCAATGCCAACGAGGAAGCTTCAGAGATCCCATGTAATATATAAACTCTTGATAAGGATCAAATTCTAAATCAATTTAAGCATATCTGTCTGGTTGTCTGTCCGTCTGCGCAATATTCGTTGTAAACACTCTCCTGGCAGCAAAAACTAAGCTATCGACTTCAAAAATTGCAGCAAAATTGAAAGTCGTTGCACGCAATTTGGCATTGAAAATGAGCCAAATTGATCGAAGAACACGCCTACCGTGCCACGTAAACTGGAAACACCTCTGGTTTCCAAAAGAAATAAAAAATTAATTTTTTGTTCCTTACGCATAAACTGCGACAAATAAACCTACATGACTTTGAACGTATGTTCTACCAAAATAAAAAAAAATTGACCACGCCCATCCAATATTATAGTGTATTTAAATTTAATTTTTATTCAATACCTTTATAAGGCCCAAAATCAAGCTTCGAAAGGCCCATAAATACCCCATATACATTCTTGACCGGTGTGCGGAATACATCTAAACATATCTGTCCACCTATCCAACTATCCAGCTGTGTGTTTTATCTGTAATACGTGTTCCCTCGTTCGCAAAAAAGAAAATAGCGCCATAGAACACGCGTACAACGTCCACGCGTCTATATAGACAAAGATGAGAACAACATTGATTTCGTATCTTTTGCCCATTGCTCGGGAACTACGATAGATAGACGGTACAAAATTGTTTGACAAGAATAAAACCATCAGCCAGGCCCACTCAACATTATGAAATATGCAAATTTATCTATTTTCTTTTTTTCAATCTTCTACAGGATAATGGTGATGGGTGTAAAGGATTCGAATGTAATTTCTTTGTTTATTTTTAGAACGGCCAATACACCAAACGAGCGGAGTTTTGAAATCGTTGTATACAGAAGAAAGAAGATATTAACGTTTAATGTATAGGTTTTGAGATCATAGTGAAAAAGTCTAAAAAAAAAGCAGATAGAGGGATGTTATTGATTGCTTGAAGTTCAAACCGGTCAAGAAAACAAACAAACAAAGTCATTGAAAGCTCAAAAAATAAAGAATTATCGTCGCTTTCCTTTTAGTTGAAAATATTTAAATTTGCCACTAGTGACAAGTTTAGTACGATTTTCCCGAGTCAACTCAACTGGGCTCAACTATCTTTTTTAGTCATGTTCAAACGATATATATTTACTTATCGAATCGAAAAATCATTACTTTTTTTTTTAATTTCTCAGCCCAATTACAAAATATGACTTAGCTTTCGGCGATTAGTTCTGACTTTCGATTCACCCTCAAGCGTACATAAGTTTTTCATGTTTGCTGCTAACGAAATTATAATTTTCTAGATATCATGTAAAATTAATTAATTAACTCAATTACAATGTATCGCAATGTAAATGTGTTGCGGTCTTATAGCCTATAATTATAAAAGTACACAAAATCTATTCTATACAATTTTGTTTGAAGCGATATAAAACAATATAAATTATGTGCAACAATATTCAGATTTTCTTACATTTTAAGCAATAAATTGTTTTCGATATATATTTGAAGGCAAATCGATTGCTTAAGTAAATAAATTTCAAACTGATTTCAAGAAAAATTAAAAAAAACGAGAAAAAAAAACAACAAAAATAAATTTATTTATTTCCTTGCATGAAGGGTTGGTAGAAAAGTCGTGCCGCCGCTGTTTGTTCTTCTTTTAGTACATACTCACCTTTCCATCTTTCATACAGAGAATAGTATTCAATTAATAACACCAGGCACCACCTAACAAAAAACAAGATGCGTCGGTAGTTTTGCTCGAAATTAGAGTCACTAACATCTCAGGAGTAACATATAACGGAGGTAGCTATGTTCACTTTTACCGATGTGATTGCTTGATCATACACTTTTCTTTGTGACCAAAAATTCAGTTAATGGTTCCGTCACAAGACATTCCACACACAGCATGATACGTCTATAAACCGAAGCAGATAAGAGTTCTACGTTTTCAAGTGATTATGCTTTATGGTATAGATACACGGTATGTATGTATGTTTGTATGTATGTATATCTAAAAAAAACAAAAAAAACTAAACAATAGGTAGAAAATTTAACTTGCTCTCGCTTCATTTTTCATTTATATTCGCAAAATGCTTCAATGAATTTCAATGAATGTATTTCATGGAGAAATGTGTGGAAAGTTTTGTGTTATTGGAAAAAGTATACACTGCAGTAATAATTAATCTTTATTTAATTTACTTTTTATGTATATATGTATTATTTTTTTTTTCTCAATTTTTTACATTACACATGAATTATCGCATTAGGCACGTTCAGTGTGTATTTCACATGGCTGACTTACTGGAATACATTCTAGAATATAATAAATGTTAAGCATCGAGGCTCGACAACTAGTTTTTTCTTATCTTCTCTCTGTTCGCAACTTTCGTGGCATTCGTACGTAATCATCTCTTATTGCTTTTTTTCTCGCTTTCGCTATATC